CAAGGGAGGAGGCTGATATTCGGCAGGATGGAGGAGTTGTTCCAGAACTGTATCTAACAAGGAAAGTATGTTCCCCTCCTCCAAATCCTGTCATTAATACTGGCCCCCTTGTTTCAGATACTCACCGACGTAAAACTAACCTGAGAGAAGATGGAGACCTGCCTGGATATGACCGGGTGACCATGGAAGATGTCGATGAGGAAGGATTTCCCAAGAAACCCACGACAGCTGTGCCGGTCGTGGGATTATACCCATAAAATGTATTATAATTATTAGAATGTAAGAGACTCCTTGGTGGTACATAAACTAGCACCCGTCGTCTACAAAGGGGGGTGGTGACGCGGTCGCGAGGCTGCCGCGGTGTTGGAAAAAATTGTAAACCGAGAAGGTAAGAAAAATTAGTTTTGTTAAAGCAAAGGGGTTAGAAACGGCCCGGATTGGCTAAAACGCCATTTGGGGGCGTGGCTTGAGAAGTTGGTTCTGAATAAAAATGTGCGACGCGGTGGCGTCAGCAGCAGACATTTCGCAGTCTAGGGAAGTGCTGTTGGTCATTTTTTCGATCTTTTCCAGAAAGAAAAGTCACAATTAGTATTCTGTTGAGTCAGGGATCCTGAAGGAACCTGTAAATAAAAACCTAAGAGTTAAAAATTTTTATAGATACTTACTTACCTGTGGGGTATCGTAGTTAGCAGTAAAGTAGAGACTATCCCGTGTGGTTTCGTCAACGATTGTGGAAATATCGCGATCGGTACAGCCTAGGAGTCTCCATATCGTTCCTGAAAAAGGAAAATTATAGTGTATAAGTACATTTCTTTTGACAATATACGTGTCTGGTGTGATTTAGTGTTTGCTTTCACGTCCTCTGATTGTAACGATACCATCAGTGTCGTTCTTGGTAATAATCCAGGTACCTGAAAAATAAAGAATTCGATTAATCTTGCCTTGAACTAGAGGTTAGAAAGCTAAAGACCTATAATTAAGTAAATTTGAGAGTAATCTTTTTTCCTTGTCAAAGTGATAAACAAAAATACAGAACCTAAAAACTTGCTTAAACTAAAGTGCATAGAAGGCAGGACCGGACTTCCAGGTGATCCGGAAAGCAGACTTTAGCCCAGTGGGTAAGTGAAAGACAATCTTGTGAGGGGTATACTGAACTGATAGCCATAAAGACTATTGAGACTTGAATCAAAAAGTAGAGTGGTTGAGATTAAATAAACTATTGTGTTGTTCGGGAAAGGTAGAGGTCATTATTAGTAAATTGAGACTTAGAAGGAAGCCTTAAATAAAATTTTTAGTTAAAGACCAGTAGCTTCACGAATTTTGAGTTATTGATATAGGAAACACTTGTCATTGGTTAACTGTATTGTTGAACTGTATAATCATTGTAAATAAGAATGACGTCAAGAGAGAAGCCCGTTGCTTGTGCGCTGCGGCCGGAACACATTAGGGAAGAAGATCGACTGAGCGAATCACTGACTTCCACAGAATCATTGGAAGGGGCTTTTCAAGTTCCTGCTGAACCCGAGACGGAAGAAGTGATCCTACCATACCGGAATTTAGGAGGGATGCGTCCCGGGGTTACTGTTCCGGGCCCTGGAACCATAGAACGAAGCAATATTTACCTGGACAATGAAGCCAGAGGGTCTGTCGGCCCCTTAGGCTCATGCGCAATGGCAGGCGCAGCGATAAGGGAGCGCGAACTAGAACACCCCCGCTCTTTTATACGGTCTGGTCCCGTAGAGCTAGGCTCCGCCCACCGCTGTCTCGGAGTGACGTCACGGTGACATCCCCCCGGCCGAAGATTCTGGCACCAGGTCTTGTCCTGGCTTTATTGAATAAAATCAACCTGTAAATTACATTTCTAAATAAATACAGTCTAATTAAAAAAACGAAATCAAATATCCTACCTATATAAAAATGTTAAAGTAAAAGTTATTCAAATGGCTATATACACATAAGTGAAACAACAAAGTTAAATAAGAACGTAGTAAATGTCTATGTACAAGAATTTACCAAGTCACGGGTGGCTGGAGACCGCTTGGTCCTGGCCCATCGGGCGACTCGGGTTCGATTAGGCTGGTTGGCTGCGGCACGACCGTTCCCTCTGGGGAACCGTTTCGGGGTGGTGTGACGCTAGCGCGTGGCTCGTGCTGGCGTGGTGAGGGCGACCGTACTATCATCCGGGACCTTCGACGTATCGGGCGGCGATCGTTGCTCGGGCGCTGCGTACTGCTTGGCCGCCACACACGCGTTGGGTACGTNACGAGAAATTAGTTTTGTTAAAGCCAAGGGGTTAGAAACGGCCCGGATTGGCTGAAACGCCATTTGGGGGCGTGGCTTGAGAGGTTGGCTCTGGATAAAAATGTGCGACGCGGTGGCGTCGGGAGCAGACATTTCGCAGTCTAGGGAAGTGCTGTTGGTCATTTTTTCGATCTTTTCCAGTAAGAAAAGTAACGATTAGTATTCAGTTGAGTCAGGGGTCCTGAAGGAACCTGTAAATAAAAATATAAGAGTTAAAAATTTTTATAAATACTTACTTACCTGTGGGGTATCGTAGTTAGCAGTAAAGTTGAGACTATCCTGTGTGGTTTCGTCAACGATTGTGGAAATATCGCGATCGGTACAGCCTAGGAGTCTCCATATCGTTCCTGAAAAAGGAAAATTATAGTGTATAAGTACATTTTTTTTGACAATATACGTGTCTGGTGTGATTTAGTGTTTGCTTTCACGTCCTCTGATTGTAGCGATACCATCAGTGTCGTTCTTAGTAGTAATCAAGGTACCTGAAAATTAAAGAATTCGATTAATCTTGCCTTGAACTAGAGGTTAGAAAGCTAAAGACATATAATTAAGTAAATTTGAGAGTGATCCTTTTTCTTTGTCAAAGTGATAAACAAAAATACAGAACCTAAAAACTTGTTTAAACTAAAGTGCATAGAAGGCAGGACCGGACTTCCAGGTGATCCGGAAAGCAGACTTTAGCTCAGTGGGTAAGTGAAAGACAATCTTGTGAGAGATAACTGAACTGAAAACAATAAAGACTATTGAGACTTTGAATCAAAAAGTAGAGTGGTTGAGATTAAATAAACTATTGTGTTGTTCGGGAAAAGTAGAGGTCATTATTAGTAAATTGAGACTTAGAAGGAAGCCTTGCATAATATTTCATTGAAAGACCAGTAGCTTCACGAATTTCGAGTTATTGATCTAGGGAATACTTGTCATTGTTAACCGTATTGTTGAACTGTATAAACATTGTAAATAAAGAATGACGTCAAGAGAGAAGCCCGTTGCTTGCGCGCTGCGGCCGGAAAACATTAGGGAAGAAGATCGACTGAGCGAATCACTGACTTCCACAGAATCATTGGAAGGGGCTTTTCAAGTTCCTGCTGAACCCGAGACGGAAGAAGTGATCGTCCCATACCGGAATTTAGGCGGGATGCGTCCCGGGGTTACTGTTCCGGACCCTGGAACCATAGAACGAAGCAATATTTACCTGGACAATGAAGCCAGAGGGTCTGTCGGCCCCTTAGGCGCATGCGCAATGGCAGGCGCAGCGATAAGGGAGCGCGAACTAGAACACCCCCGCTCTTTTATACGGTCAGGTCCCGTAGAGCTAGGCTCCGCCCACCGCTGTCTCGGAGTGACGTCACGGTGACAGGCAGTCTCAGAATCGGAGCTCGGTCGACGGGCGCTTCCCGCCAAATTGAGAAAAACCGTTACAATTCTGCGCAACGTGATTGGCTCCCGCGCAGGAATAACGGTTTCGTTACGTCATCGAGCATATAAAAAGGCCCTGAAAAAAAGGGAACAACATTCATTCCGCGCTGACCACAACCCCGTGAGGTTGTGCATCGTAACTTAGCTTTCTACGAAAGTTCGGACTCGTAAGTTCGAACTGAGCTACTTTGCCGTGAGCAATTTAAATTGATTTAAGCATTTTTGCATCGCATTAAACCCCGTGTGGTTTTTCGCATGTAATTGNCTTCGGCTTCAGAGTTAGAAACATTATGGAATTTATTATTTATAGCTTCGATTGCTGCCTGGACATCTCGCGCTGGAGTGTCGTCCTGGGCGTTGGAACTTGGATTCGAAAGATAGTCGAAATCTGAAGTTCGCTCGTTCAGATTATACGAAAGCGCGCTCCAGCCACTGTATCATCAAAAAATCACATCGCATCTCAGATCTCAGATCTCCGATCAAAACTTCACCACAATCAGACCTCGATACCAAGCAGTCACGCGCTACCATAGCGTCGCAACTCAACTCAAACCGACACGCGCTTCATCAACAACGCATTCATCGAACAATTTTAAAAATAATTCGAAAACTCCAACTCAAACGAAAATTCCAAGTTACTGCCATCCGCATCACAAACAAACAAAATTATTGGTTTTATTTCTACATTAGAAATAAGTATCCAGTGTTTACCCAGTGCTTACCTAGACGTTCCACCACCGCCGAAGCAGAGGTTCCACCGCTACAGAAGTAGAGGCCATAATTGTTTAAAAAAAAATAAAATAAAATAAAACAAAACAAAAGAAAATAAAACAAAACAAAATAAAACAAAACAAAATAAAATAAAACAAAACAAAATAAAATAAAAAAACAAAATAAAATAAAATAAAATAAAACAAAACAAACGGAATAACATCAAAAAATTCCATTTCGCCGAGCTCGATCAAAGCAAAACGAGTACACCCCCGCTCTTTTATAGGGTCTGGTCCCGTAGAGCTAGGCTCCGCCCACCGCTGTCTCGGAGTGACGTCACGGCGACATCCCCCCGGCCGAAGTCTCGCACCAGGTCTTGTCTTGGCTTTATTGAATAAAATCAACCTGTAAATTACATCTCTAAATAAATACAGCTTAATTAAGAAAACGAAATCAGATATCCTACCTATATATATAGAAATGTTAAAGTAAAAGTTATTCAAACAACTATATACACATAAGTGAAACAACAATGTTAAATAGGAACGTAGTAAATGTCTATGTACAGAATTTTAACAAGTCGCGGATGGCTGGAGACCGCTTGGTCCTGGCACATTGCGTGGCTCGGGTTCGATTAGGCCGCTGGGCTGCGGCACTGCCGTTCCCTCCGGGGAACTGCTTCGGGGTGGTACGCCGCTAGCGCGCGGCTCGTGCTGGCGTAGCGAGGGCGACCGTACTATCATCCGGGACCTTCGACGTATCGGGCGGCTATCGTTGCTCGGGCGATGCGTGCTGCTTGGCCGCCACACGCGTGTTGGGTACGTCGTGGCTGATTTTTCCGGGGGCCTTGTCGCTGGTGGGGTCCGGTCTGGTTCTGGTACGGGCGGAACGGCTTCCTCCGCGTCGTTCGGCGTTATGGTTGGAGGTTCCTCGTCTGCTGGTGCCCTCACGGCCGCCGGCTCGACTGGCTCTTCTGGGTCACCCTGGTCGTCGGCCGCGACTTCGTTCCGCGGCGGTGGTGTGGAGCGAATGTCGTCGATATGTATTAGCTGTGCGTTGTCGTTCTGGTCTACGACATACACACCGTCTCCAAGCACCTCCATCACTCGGTGAGGCCCTGACCATTTCGGGGCGAACGGTGGATTGCCAGGTCGCATACGGGTGAGGAGAAGGTCGCCGACTTGGTAGCGTCTAGAAGCCTCACGCGGCTCGAGACATAATTGCCTTTGGTAAACTTCTTGGCGTCGTTTGGGCCGTGCGATACGTTCGTTGTGTGGTTCGACTAGAGGCCTGACTTCGACGGGCATGGTCCATTCTCCGGGGCGTCTTATAGGTTGGCCGAACATCAGGACGGCCGGCGAGGTACCGGTAGCGGCGTTGGTGCGGCAGTGTAGGGCGAATAGGGCGTTTGGCAGAGCTTCTGGCCATCGGTGCGGCTGTTCGATTACCAAAGCGCGGATCGTCTTCATCAGCTCTTGTATACGTCGCTCTACCGGGTTGGCCCGCTGATGGTAAATAGGAGACGTATACCCCTGGATATGGTGCTGTTCGAGATAATTTGTCCAGCGGGCGGCTAGGTATGGCCGGGCGGCGTCGGTGACAATACAGGCAGGGTAGCCGTATCTCGTGAATGTTTCTTCCAGGAATTGGACGATTTCTTGGGCTTGGGTCGTAGGTATGGGCTTTAATTCTACCCACTTCGTGAAGGTGTCGGTGAGGACGGCGGCATATCTGGCGTGTCGTGGGGCTTCCTCGTAGGGGCCTAGAACGTCTAGGCTCACCGTGTGCCATGGCTCGGGCGGCGTCCTAGGTCGCAGTGGAGCTTTGGATTGCGGCGGCCCCGCTTTGACAGCGGCACAAATTGCACAGCTCTTCACCCACTCGGCAACATTTCGGGGTAGTTTCGGCCACCAGAACTTCTGCTGTATGGCGGTTTGGGTTTCATCCCACCCGGGATGAGCGGCGTGTGGCCCGTCGTGGTATTCTTCCAGAAGCCGGCGACGCAGCGTCCTCGGCACATAGAGCAGGAGTTGTTGCGGGGTTCGTTTCCATATACAGTCATCCACGAGAGCGTACTCTTCTCTAATGCGTCGCTCGTCGGCGTCGGCGGGCTCCTCCCGAGCCAACCTCTGAAGACGTGCCTTGTCTTGCTGGCAGCTGTCGTCTTCACGCTGTGCCGCGGCGATTTCTTCATACAGGGTCCTCTCTTGGATTTGGTTAAGTAAGGGATGTTGGTTTTCGTCTTCGGTGGGCTGGTCTTCCTCCATGGCATGCTCTGGGTTGCGCGAAAGATAGTCGGGAAGCTCATTCCGGGTACCAGGGACATGGACGACTTCAAATTGGTACCCTTGTAGCATGAGGGCCCACCGGGTTAATTAGGCCCGTTCGTCTTGGTACTTCCTCAGCCATAGCAGCGAGCGGTTGTCAGTATACAGGGTGTATCTAAATAACACCGAAAAAATTCAAGGGGCGATTCTCCGATGAAAATTAATAGGGGTCTTTGGTATAAAATTTTTTGAAAAAAACCCTTCCCTGAAAAGTTACGCCCCTCCTAAAATTACAAAAAAAAATTGTTTTTCTTTTTTATCTTCCACGTACATCAAGCTAAAGAAACCAAACTTGGTGAACATTATCTGTCAATAAAACTACACTTTTTGAATTTTTTTCAACCCTGAACTATTTTTGTAAGGGGTTGAAATAATCAACCCCTATGACATTTTTTCTTATAATTTTTTTT